TATTTTTCATCATTGTTACATGCACCCTGACTGGCTTATCTCCTCCCCGAGACGCCTCTGCAAGGGGATTTCCAGTGGCCTACTGATGGGTTTTGGGTCTCCACTCCGCAGTCCCCCCATCATTCACTATGGTAAGACCACTTTTAAAGGTAACAACTCATGTATCATTTGTCGAGGACTCAAGCAAGCGTGGACAGAAACAGAAACAATATAATTTCAAAAGAGCAATTAAGCATTGCAAGGTCAGAACAGTCAAAACGAATTATAATGTCCTAACCGGGGAACATGAGAGTGCATTTTAAAATTAATCACCGGTGGAGATTTCCCAGAAGGGAAGGGGGAGCGGTCAGGCCAGCTCTCTGAGATGGGAGGGGAAGTGGGCAAGCCCCCTCACAGCTAACAAAAATGGAGTTTGTTGTGGTGAGTTTGCTTCACTGAGATGCTGTTTGTAATAGATTCTGGTTTCTTTTTGTTTGCTATCTCTCTCTAGAGCAGTGCTTCTCAACCTTCCTCATGCCGCAGCCCTTTCATACAGCTCCTCATGTTGTGGTGACCCCCAGCCATAACATTATTTTTGTTGCTACTTCATCACTGTAATTTTGCTACCGTTAATGAATCAGGCGACCCCTATGAAAGGGTCATTCTGTTAGATCTCTCTCAGGGGAGAAATATACCTCGGTCCTTGGCTTTGCTGGAGAAAGAATTCACGCCGAAGCCTGGATCATAATCCAAGTGAGTTTTATGAAAGGTAAAAGAAGCTTCAGGTTGACACAGGCACCTCAGGGCCCTTCACCCCCACATGTGGGGTCCTGAGGCCAGAGGAGGTGCTACACAGCCTACAAGGAGCAGCTTGAGAAGCAGAAGGGCCGCAAGGCTCTGGATTCTGGCTTTTCAGGTCCTCTGCTGGGAGGCGTGGCTGACAATCCTGGTCAACCCCATTGGCTGAATTGAATTCACCTGGCCCAGATGGGCCCATCCAGGTGTAACACTCACCTAGGTGTGCCACTCCCTCCTGGCCCAGAAGCTTGAACCTCTGAGCATGCGCAATGGATGCCCCAGCCCCTATGCTAGCTCCCTAGCAATTTGAGCCCCAAAGGAGTCATGATCCACAGGTTGAGAACCACTGCTCTAGAGTATAGAAAGAGTGCAGTGGTTAAGTGCTCGACTCCTAACTGGAAATCTATGGAAGAAAGATGTGGTTGTTTGCTCCTGGAAACATTACAGCCTTGGGACCTATGGGGCACCCCTACTCTGTTCTACAGGCTCACAATGAGTAGAAGTTGACTTGGGGGCGGTAGGTTTTTGTTGTTGTTGCAGTGTGGGAACTGAGACCCGGGAAGAGAGTGTGTGGACAAATTCTCCGTGCTCACATTTAAGGAGTCTGGGAGGCAGACTTGGTGGAGGAAGATCTTCATATTCATGAGTTGGAGATGCAGCCCAGTCACATTCTCCTAACTAAAATTGTTCCCCCAAATGCCCCCCGCAATAATGCCAATGCTAAGGTGCTGCTTGCAAGCACATGCTTGCTACTACATATGCTGGAAGATCAAGTGATTGAAAGCTCTTTTCCTGAAGGTTGTCTGTCATGAAAAGCAATCTGACCCCAAGCACAGCCCACTCCCTTCTGGTAAGGATCATAGATTGTTCCCCTGGAGAAGAGCTCAGGGACACTTAAGGTCAAGCCAACTCAGAGACGACCAAGGTTAAGTCACCCTCTTAACTGTAGAACCTGCCCATCTTGTTACGTATGTGCCTTCCTGTCACAGGTATGCCACTAGTACCTCCTTTACCTGGTAGGTTATGCCCTTAGCACATCCCCCTCCTGTTTCGTCTGTGCCTCTAATACCTCCCCTTCCTGTTACATATGTGTGTGATGAGGGAATACATTTGCCCTCACTCTGGTCTCCATGGGAGAGGTGAGCACTTGCATGCCTTGTCTGTGTTCCTTTAATTTACTCTTCAATTACACACCTGCCCCATGGACCCATTCCATTGTGGAGGCTGGTCCCACACATTACAGTACGCAGGTTTTCCATCCAAAGAAACATTTGTAAGGGGAATAGTAAAACTAGGGAGATATACCCTCCTTACAATAATCACTGGTCAGAGAACAAAAAGGCAGCATTTTCCCAAGGAAAAAACCTCAGAGGGGCTCGTAAGACAGAAGAAGGGAAACAGCAAACACAGGGAGGAAGGGAGATATGGAGTATTGCATTGTGGGGATTGCACCCCAGGACATGAAACCACATGTGTATGCATTGTTGCCTGGAAAGTTTCTTTGTCTTGTAAACCAGTTTACAAGAAAAACATTTTTTTTAAAAAAATTCAAGTGTTTGCAACATCTCTCATCCCTTTTGTACAGCAGTGGAGAGGTGATGGCAGACCAGATTTGCTCTAAAATGAAGAAGTGGGACTGAATGGGGACTCACAGAAAGAAGCTGTATTTGCAGGAAGTATCTATCTGCCTGTGGAGGTACAGAATGACAAATTTTGTGAACAGTTTGTTCACTGTCTGCCTCAATTGGCTAGGAAGAACAGAACGAACAGTGGCATTCCATACAAATCCCACTGGTTGTAAGGAGTCCTGCCATCTTTGAACAAAGCCTTGTTTCTGCCCCTGATGAATCTACTCAAAAAAAGAAAAACCCAGCCTTCAAACACGCGCTCTCGCAATGAACACGTGAATCATAGACACAAAGATGGGACAACAGGAAAGGGGAGATGAGTGGGAAGAATTGGTATCAGACAATACCTGTGTTGTATGTACCAGAGTCATAGGTTCATGTGAATCACAGACACAAAGATGAGACAACAGGAAAAGGGGGAAAGGATAGGAATAGCTGGTGTCAGACACCACCTGTGTTCTATGTAGCAGATGAGAATTGGGAACCAATATTTACTTTCTTTTAGCTCTTATGGGTACTGCACCAACATATCATAAAACTAATTCAATCATATCAAAAGAGTTGTGCAATCATCACCACAATCAATTCTAGAACATTTTCTTCTTCCTTGTACTCATTGTTATTCATGTAATTAATTTTAAATGCGACCAAAATATGCACAGCAAAACATGCTGAAATTCAACAACTTCTACATATCTAATTCAGTGCCATTGTCTATTTTCTTTGTGATGTCCAACCATTATTGATATCCTTTTCCAAATTGTTCTGCCACCATTGACATAAACTCAATGCTCCCTAAGCAAAAACTCTTTCTCCTTCACTCACGGTCACCATTGGTTATGTTTGGTTTCTCCCGCCCCTTAAGTAGTTTTCTTGATATAATATTCACATATCATACATTTCCACAGCTCAGTTGCTTTTAAGACAGTTTTATAGACATCATCACATTCAGTTTTAGTGCCTCCTTCTGGAGCACCTCTCTGTCTGTCTGTCTGACTCAAGAGTCCCACTTCCTTTGAAACTAAGCCCACGTCTCCATCTTGTGTGGGATTCGTCTCTCTCGTCTAGTGACACAGGATACGGCTCTATTTGCATTTAGCAAAGAGCTGCTGAGCTTATGATCCTAGATGGAACATGATGATCTGCACCATCTGCAAAGAGGGCCCACTCACCTGGAAAGGGCCAGAGAGGACCCACTCACCTGTGCTCTGTGATGGGCTGAACCGGGCAGAGACAAGAGAGAGGCACAGATTCGGAGAGAAGTTGCACATCAGCAAGGAGGTTGTCTATCAGCAGAAAGGATCAGGACCAAGACAGTCAGCCCAGACATGCTGGGACTTGTTGACTGGGTGTTTCTGGCTCAGTTCATTGTTCAATTCCTTCTGGGGCTGCTGGTGAATGGTTTCATTGGGCTGTTCAATGCCCGTGGATGGATCAAGAGCAAGAGAATCTCATTGTATGACTCGATCGTCACCACCCTGGCCCTCTCCCGGATGGTTCTGCTGTGGATTCTCCTGTTTGATGGGGTTTTGATGTTATTCTCTCCTATCGAACATGAGAGAGGGATTGTCATGAAGCTGATTGATTTCTTCTGGACACTTACAAATCATCTGAGCATCTGGCTCACCACCTGCCTGGGTGTCCTGTACTGCCTGAAGATCGCCAGTTTCTCCCACCCCACTTTCCTCTGGCTCAAGTGGAGGGTCTCCAGGGTGGTTATGTGGATGCTGCTGGGTGCCCTACTCTTGTCCTTGGGAAGTACTCTGTCTCTGATCTGTGAATTTAAGGACCAGTCCGGCATCACAGAGAATGTGACAGATAACATCAGAATGAATATAGGTGAATATTCATTCAAGCTGATCCATGTCTTTGGGACTTTCTGGTACCTCCCTACCTTGGTGGTGACCCTGGCCTCCTACTTTCTGGTCATCCTCTCCTTGGGGAGACACACCCGTCAGATGCAGCACAGTGGGGCTGGCTCTGGGGACCCCAGCACTGAAGCTCACAAGAGGGCCATCAATGTCATCTTCTCCTTTGTGCTTCTCTTCCTGCTCAATTTCATCACCCTTTTAATTGCATGGTCTAGTCAATTTTTTCCTGAACCGAAGATAGTGGCAATGACTGCAGATGCCGTCACGATGCTGTATTCCACGGGCCATTCATTGATCCTCGTTCTGGGAAGCCCAAAGCTGAGGCAGGCCTTTGTGCAGTTGGTCCCATCTGGGTTGATGTAAGTGGGCACTATAGGAAATTGGATATCCCAAATGGGGAGAATAAAGGCATGAAGTGGCTGGCTTACAAACTTTCATGGTGGGGGAATATGTTGAGAGGATTATAGGATTAGCTGTAGGTGTTCACATAATTGAAATTGTTAGGCATAGAATATTTTTCTTTTGTTCACATAGACTATTATATTTAAATGAGGCTATCACATTTCATACACATTTTAGTTTTATCCTGTTAGGCACAAAGATGATTTTATTATTGTCTTTAATTTAAAAATTATGTATGGCTAAAGAGTCATGTAAAAGTGTCAAGTTGAAAGAGGGGGAATGCAGAGTGGAGACCCAAAGCCCATCTGTAGGCAACTGGGCATCCCCTTACAGAAGTGTCACAAGGAAGAGATGAGCCAGTCAGGGTGCAGTGTAGCACTGATGAAACATATAACTGTCCTCTGGTTCTTTAATGCTTCCCCCCTTCCCCCACTATCATGACCCCAATTCTACCTTACAAATCCAGATAGACCAGAGCATGTACACCGGTACAGATAAGAGCTGGAAACACAGGGAATCCAGGACAGATAAATCCCTCAGGACCAATAAATGAGAGTAGCCATACCAGGAGGGTAAGTGTAGGGTGGTGGGAGAAAGGGAGAACTGATCACAATGATCTACATATAACTCTCTCCCTAGGGGATGAACAGAAAAGTGGGTGAAGGGTGACATTGGTCAGTGTAAGACATAAAAATATAATAATAATTTATAAATTATCAAGGGTTTGTGAGGGAGGGAGGGTGGGGGAGTGAGGGGGAAAAATGAGGAGCTGATACCAAGGGCTCAAGTAGAAAGAAAATGTTTTGAGAATGATGATGGCAACAAATGTACAAATGTGCTTGACACAATATATGTATGTATGTATTGTGATAAGAGCTCTATGAGACACAATAAAATGATTTTTTAAGAAAAGTGTCAAGTTCACAAGGGGTGATCTGTGGTAGTTACATAATTTCACGTCAACTTAATAAATAAAGTGTAGGGGTGGAATTTAGCCTTTCAATCAGGTCATAACTTGAGGACCTCCTTTGGAGGCACGACTGAGATAAATGGTTTGCTAGTGGTCGGCTCCTCTCTCTCTCTTCCTGTTGACAACCCACATGCAGCCACCCTGAGACCTGCGAGAGCCCTGGAGATGTTTCCACTGCCACAGGATCCACAAGACTTTGCACCTACTGGCTGTGATCTTCCTGAATTTTGCGTCATTGCATGTGCTGCATGAGTCTGAAGAAGGATTTATGGACTGGTATCGAACCTATGAACTCGTATCAGACTTATGAACTTGTTCTGGACTGGACTGGGATGTTTGCTTGATATATAAATACCTCTTGATACAAAGCTCTTTCTTACATTTACATGAGTGTCTCTGGATTTATTTCTCTAGTCAACATGGCCTAATACATCTTCTTTATTTATATATAGACTAACTTTCATGGGCATATGAATCTATTGAAAATACCATAGATTGGGTCAGACATACCTTAGTCATCAGTGTGACATCTGTACCCTCCAACATTTTAAAGAGGTCTTATGAGAATTGACTGTGAATTAAAATAGACTGTGAAGTAAAATGAAATCCTTGATAACTTTGATTTTTTTCTCCGTTTATCTTATGTCTTTTGTCTTGTGAGGATTTGTCTTTTGTTGTCTTTATATTGAGTTATAAGCCACACTGAAAGCTGCGGTGCTTGATCTTCATCAGCAAGTGCTTCAAGCCCGTCTCCGTGTGAACAAGCAAGGTTGTGTCATCCGTACGTAGGATTGTAATAAGCCTTCCTTTAATCCTGCCACCACATTCTTTATCACATCGTCAGCTCTCACTGTTTCCTTGTTCTGTTCATTTACCTGCCCCTTGGTATTTATACAACTTCCACACGTTCACAATGAAGTGTTCTGGAGTTCCTATTTTTCTCAAGGCTTTCTGTAGTTTGTTATGACTGACACAGTTGAATGCATTTCCATAGTCTCGTATGATCTGTTTTCAGCCAAGATCCATCTGACACCAGCAATGATACCCATTGCCCCATGTCTTCATCTGAATCCGGGTTTAATTTCTGGAAGCTCCCTGTCTACATACTGCTACAACTGTTTTTAATGGTCTTCAGTAAAATTTTATTTCAAGCGATATAAATGATGTTGTTCAATACTTTCCATATTCTATTGGATCACCTTTCTTTGGAATGGACACAAATGTGGATCTCTTCCTGTTGTTGGTTAGAAATTTTCGCCCAAATGTGTTGTTATTGAACTGTTAGTGCTTTTAGAGCTTTATTAGCTTCTTCAAATAATTCAAGTGGTATTCTATCAATTCCCGGAGTCTTGTTTATCTACAGTGCCTTTAGTATGACTTGGATTTCTTCCTTCCAAACCATCCATTCTTGATCACATGCTATCTTTTAAATGGTTCAATGCTGACCTGTTCTTTTTAGCTCACTGATGTTGTACTTCTTCCCTCTTCTTCTTCTTTTAAAAAATATTAGTTGGGATTTAATACATATATTATTCCAAATTTCAATCCCATCAAGTAGCATCTACAATTGCTACCCCAATCAGTCTCCAGGCATTCTTTTTCCACAGGGACTCCTTGCCATCGCCTCTCTTTTGCCCCACCTCCTCCACTGCACCCTTCTCCCCGGAAACCTCTTGTTCTACTTGCTGTCCCTCTAGGTTCATCGATCCTAGGTTGCATAAATTGAAAGCTGCATAAGCATATAACACAGCTTCCGGAGGGTGACCTCCATTGACATAACACCTCTGAGATACACTCTAATATGAACAAGGCCAAAGAAACAATACAAACCAAAAATACAGAACATTTTGGAAACCAGATCCGCACCAGTCCGCATCACAGGGGGAATCTACTGACAAAGTTTTAACTGTTGAGGTCAGATTTATGCCTTTGATCTTCTATACTCCTCTCTCCCGGGCACTCTGTTTATGACCACTTTCCTCCCTTCCCTCAAGTTCAGATAGAGGGAGTTCTCCGGAGGCCTATTTCTTAAGTAGTTTCACAAATGAATCTTGGGCTCTCACTGTCATCCATTGCCTTCTGCACACCAGATTCTCACAATTTAGGCTCTGATATTGATCCCTCCGTCCTCTTTGACTATGGCCTTCAACCCTTCAGTGATGATGGTGTGCTTCTTCCATGTGGACTTAGTTGAGATCTCACTTAGATGGCTGCTTGTTTGGAGATACGTCTTTAGGACCCCAGACGCTAGTTTATCTGATAGCTGGACACCAGCTTCCCTCTTCCTTTGATGCTGCCTGAATCCTTCAATATTCTTCCCGTAGAATCCTTCAGTATTGCAACTTGAGGCCCAATTTTTTTCTTTAGTTCTTTCAGATTGATATATTCCATGTGTTTTTCTTTGGCTTTCTAACTCCAGTCTTTGTACATTTCATTAGAACACTTAATTTGTGTTTTCTAGGTGCCCTTTGAAAATTTATAATCAGCACTCTTTCTTCATGGTTTATTCCATTTTCTTTAGTTAATCTATGTTCAAGAACAAGTTCCTAAGTCTCTATTGACACCCACTATGGATTTTTCTTTTCTTTTCTTTTTTGGTCTTTTAAATGACCATTTGCTTTCTTCACGCATTATATTTTTTGATGTCACATCACAGCCCATAAAGTCTCCTCATTTGCGTTCAATGTTTCAAACCTATTCTTGAGATGTTAGCTAAATTCAGTTGGTATATGTGCAAGGTGTACGTTGGCTCTCATCACCTGGCATATTTTTTTCAAGGTCAAGCTGTACTCGAATATGAACAATTGATAGTCTGTTGCACAGTTGGCCATGCTTGTGTTTTGGTGGCTCATAGTGAGCTTCTCTATCATCTCTTCTTACAGATGTTTTCAAACTGATCCCTGTGCATTCCACTTTGTGAGGTTCGCGTAGGCCTTCTGCTTAACACGAGGAGACTGAGCACTGTCAGTGGTAAGCTGTTGCAGATGAAATAGGGACGTGGACTTGGGGGAGAGAGCAAACCTTGGCTGGCTCCCAGGGGTGGCTGTGAGTGTCCCAGAGTACTGGTCTGGGTGAGTTCCTCTCGCTCCTTGCCCGGGGGTCTTCCTCATCTCCTACAGTGTCTGCTCCAGAGCGTCCTGGAGATTCCAGAGCATGTGTGAGTGATTTAGCGTGGTTTGTGGTGGTAATCAGTGGGGAGAGGCTGTGTCACACACCAATTCAAATTCTTACATGTACAGTCTAGGAACATCGATTCCATTCTTACAGCATGTCACCATTCTCACCCTCTTTTTTGAGATGTTCCTTATATTTTGAGTTGTTATTATAAATTTGATTTAATATAAAACATACACACCGCCCCCCCCCCAATGCCTTCAAGTGTACATAGACTCAGGGCAATGGGTTTGAACTGCTCGGTAGAGTTCTAAGAATGTAAATTGTTA